ATATAAAAATGTATTATCTATGTTTATGTAGTAAATTGAGGTATGTCTATAGTAATTGAGATTTGAATTTGAAAATTAGGATAGAATGTATAAAAGTATATGTAGTTTTTTTTTTTTTTTTTCTTTTCACGTTGATCGCAAACAGTTGCTAGATTTTAGTTTCCAGATTGCTGATTGATTTGTAAATAATATCAACAACAATCTTACGACGGGGTGTGATATCTGGCGACTGTTTGGCGATCAACAGAGCATGCTTGGCGCAGGTAGCTCTTCTTCGAGAAGGGTTAATGTATTTATTAGGAGTTGCATGTTAGCCTCGGAAGAGGAAGGTAGTAGATTGTACTATGCGGTAGGAGCGACGTACTGCTCTGAGTAACTATTATATTATGCTTTGAATTATATATTTAATAAATGTTTGTTTCGTCTTGCTAAATGGTGCCTTATTAAACCATGAAGTCATCACATTGTTTTCATTTAGTTATTTATTATACTATTTTTTTAACATATTTAAGGCTTATGTGAGCTTTGAATAAATAGCTTTGCACACGTACACTTTGCACAGCTCTAGATATTTTACCGCATGATGCAGTCTTTGGGGGTTCTAAATTCTGCTACCAAATGCCTAAGTTCTAAATTTTGTGCCCCAATACTTTTTCTAAATTCTAAAAATTTTGCTGCTTGGTACTTCTCTAAATTCCAAAAATTTTGTCTTTTCTTAGTTCTGCTGCCCCGTGCGGCCATACGAACTCTGCACTGGTTCTGGGTTTATGTGGATAACAAATGAGTTATTTTTAATTCAAATGGCATGAAATGTAATCTTTTGGTATATGAGTATCATTAACAAAATCTGTTTTTAGTATACGGAAAGAAATTTTTGGTTAATTTTTCCTTTAGAGCATTTAACTTAAATCTGTAATCATCGCCAAGCGTAATGTCAATATAAAAGGTTACCATACTTTTTGCTATTCAATTACTAACATAAAAAAATATTTATGCATCACTTCATGAATCATTACTCAAGTTATCAAGTTTTGATAAACATGCGGTGATGATATCAAAGTATAATGACTCACCAAGTTGGTGTCAGGGATATATTATATTAGTAGTGTAAAATTAATGATGTTTCTATATAAAATCTTTGGTATGAGATGTATGCCAAGCAGGTATGAGCTACAGAGCCAAATTATTTGTCAGACAAATTTATGCTAAAATGATTGTTTCTTGAATAGCAAGGTATAATTTAGTGCCAAAGTGAAATTAAGAGTCCTAACTCTCCACGTGTTTTTTTAATGGGGAAGTCAAATGTGCATGTGTAAAACATACCAAAAAAAAGGTTGGTGGTGAGAAAAAAAAAAGGTTTGAAGTCCGGATTTTAGATCATTCCGTGTATTGGACTTTATCGGGCTTTGTACTGTATTTAATAAATAAAGGTAACACACAAAACATTAAAAAATGGCCCCTTTGGACATAATTTAAAATCTGAAAGCTTTGAGTTTTTTTTGGGGGGGGCTATGTATACTCCTAATATAAATTTTTAGAATTGGCTGGGTGAAATTCGCCAGTTACATTCCTCTGCACATAGTTTCAGCTCATGCTAAACACACGCAAACAAAATACATTAATTCTGTTATTTTTTTAATAAACTGTTTGTTATTGTAAAATAATGCAACATTTTTATTCACTCAGTTTGAGTCCTAATCTAAATATACAGAGTATTAGTCATATTTCATTGAATTTTTGAATTAGTTGTGAATTTATATATTAAGTATATACCTAATAATGAAAAAATCGGAACTGGGGCTGTTTTTAATAACTTTGATATACAGAAACAATGCTAAAAGCCATTATTCGGAATGGGGTTGTTTTTAATGCTATTAAGCTTTTCACAGCAAGTAGTTATGTTGATCTGCTTGCAGAAAATCTGCCCACTTTTCTGACAAAGTTTGTTTTAATATATTAATTATGTGTTGCATTATTAGTACAAAGGGGCCTCTGTCCCTGAAGGACTATTGTTTTTCATTTTGCGATTTTGCATTGGTTCATTACAAATGTCCGTTTCACTTTTCAAATTGTTGCCACCAAATGTTAGAATTCTGCATTATATTTGAAGAAAATAAATAATTAAAAATATGCATAAATGTATGTATATTTCTCAGATTGTGATAAAATAACAGAACATAGAGCCATTGAATTTTGAATGACGTAATCATCCTCCTACAAATATGGGCATGTAGAAGCCCAAATTTGAAATCTAGAATTTGTTTTATTATCGATATCATATTTTGTAAAACTTTAACAAATTTTTTCTTAACAAACTGGAGGATTTCAAAGAGAGCAATGGCAACAATGTACAGAAAAAAACATTTTTATCTCCAGAGTCTCTGTATCGGAAATTCTAAGCTTATGCTCATTTTAAAACTATTTTGCGATATTGCTGTTGAACTGAATTTTATAGTTTTAGTGCGAAGAAGGTGATATTTAATAAATAAATGTAACACACAAAATGTTAAAAAAAAAATGCCCCGCTGGATGTAATTTAAAATCTGAAGCCTTTCAGATTTTATATATATATATATATGTTCTTGAGAAAATGTTATAGTATTTTACAATAATGCAAATTGCTTTACAATAATATGAGTAAATAACTCTCTTAATATGTTTGATGAAATACATGAAGAATTTTTTTGGGGGGGTTGTTATCTATTGAATATATGGTTTTCATGAAAGACTTGCAAGAAAAGGACTGTAAAGAAATAATTAGGGTACTTTTCCATATCACCATTGCAAATCTTGCCAAGCAGACTTTATTGGCAACAACATATAGTATACACATAAAAAAAATTTTAACAAATGTTAGTTCTAAGAATTTTTTACTTTAGAGGCATTCTTGTTTTCCTTCTCCACACAAATCCCGCGAGATAACTTTTCAGATCATCATGTGATGTTCCTCTGTGTTTCTTATTTCGCCATTTGGCATTACTCTATAGTCTTTCTATTGTTCATTTGTGTGTTCCAGTTTACAGATCGACAAAATTGTATTTCTAGTTCATTTTGAAATGTTCGAAACTTTCCTCTTCCAGTTTTTCAGCGCAGTATGATTTCTACAAATCCAAACATATTATAGTTCCTTTTTGATATTTTCCTTAATTGCTTCTAATGTAATGCTCATGTATCGGTCTGGCAGTTTCACAAGTAGACATTTGTTTGCTTCACAACAAGCTCCTTTACAGATCCACTTTTGAGGTAGAATCCATCCCGCATTGTTTTTGCACTTCGTGAACATACTTTCATCCACTTCGATGTTTATACCAGGTTCGTACTATTTTCTGTTGTTGACTTTTGAGCAAAGACTCCACACAAACCTCATGCATGTAGTTATTTCAGTCCACAATTGTTCTGTGACTGATTTCCAACTAACTGATTTTCACACCTTTTACCTGAAGTTAATTCTTCGCTCCAACCATAAATAAACCTCACACACTTCAAGAAATTCAAATTTGATCACCCAAACCATGTGCCTTACCAGATACTTTTATTACTGCGACAAATTGAAAGGCTGCAGCGCCACTGAATTTCGTCTCCGAAATAAAATTTCATATCATGCAAGTACCAATTTTAGTCAAAATGCCTTTCGCTTGAAAGAATTTGACACATTCATCCTCTGTTGTAAGCCAATCCCAAATTTTCATTGATTTTTCATCCATTTTTGATGTATTAGGAAAAAGATGTGATTGATAAAAAATGGCCATGACTTGTTTTGAAAACGTAGCATTAAAAGGTTACCAGCTAGGATATACCATCTGGCGTGGATTGCATCATTTTTAGCGACTTTACCCTCTGCGGTGGTGATATGGAAAAGTACGGAAATTATATAACAGTATTCATGTTTAATATTTCAAGAACTCTGATATTATTTATAGGAAGAAACTGATAACTAACTCTAATTATTTGGATCAGTTTTTATGATCTTTTAAAAAACAGTTTGAGCTTTAAAGTTTTAGGTTGGCACTATAAATGTGTTTTCAGGCAGAACAACAATTGATCTAGCCTTTGATGAAATTCTTTTTTTTCTCTCATAATTTTGTATATTTTAAAGTTGTACAGAATATTTTAAGTTATATTTTGTATAATAATATTTATCTTCCTTTTTCTCATGTTTTATTGCCTTTTTTCATAAAGAAATGTTTTTGTTACCAAAATATTTTACTGTTTGAAGGGAGGAATATATAAAATAAAAATCTAACTGTAAAACAAAATCCTAAACTAATTAATAGTAGCCCATAGGTATCTTATTTAATTGGATTTCCCCTTTCTGTCTTAAAAATGCTGAAAATAAATCTGTCTAAACTGCATCATTTCAGAATTAATCATTGACATAAATTAGAAATTGTACAAGTGCTAGAGTCTACAGTTTTTTGTTAGTACTATCATTATTGCAAATTAGGAATCTCTTTCTGCAAAAATAAAAAAAAGTAATTTTTTAATGTTTACATATTTATGACAAAAGAAAGCTAAATTTACTATTTCATGGCAACTGCTAAAGCTATATTTCATTATTAGTTATCATTCAGTGTAATAAGAATACTGGTGATAAATTACTTCCATAGCATTAAAAATAAAAACATGAACACATAAATAAAACTACTACTAATAAAAATGTTTTGGAAAATGCAAAAATTTCATGCACCTGTTATGTACTTTTACTTATCATCCTGTGGACATACCCACCTATGGTCAGGTGGATAAGACTACTGAACATTAGTAGTCTGAAGTCCAGGTTTAAATTCTGATCAAGGAGACCTTCCCCCCCCCCCAACATTAGGCAGATATATGTTCTTGTATAAAGTCAAATAAAGCACACCACCTGTGACCATTTTTTTTATCAATTCCATATTAATAATAACTTCTTTAATTAGGATTTTGACATTTATCCCCTCAGCTATTTCTCTTCTTAGAATTAAATGTAATGTAAATACACTCAGAGCATTTTTATTTTTCAGGTACTTCATTCTGATGGTGGTAACTGTAGTGCGTGTATAAATGCTGGGACATTAGCTTTGATTAATGCAGGTATACCTCTGAAAGATTACCTGTGTGCATGTTCTGCAGGCTTTGTAAATGAAACACCTCTCATGGATGTAAATCATTTTGAAGCAATATTAGGTGGTGCCGAGCTTAATTTAGCCATACTGAAAAAATCTCAAGCTATTGTATGTGATGAGTTAACTGCCCGTTTGCATCGAGACCATATGCCTAAAATTCGACAGATTGCCATTGAGGGTTGTAAAGATATTTATGCTATTTTAGATGCAGCAGTGCGGAAACATGCAGTGCAGTCTCAAATGTTATAATTAAACTCTCTTTTGTATTGTAATTAAAGATTTATATTTGTATGAATTTGTTTTCTGTGTGAAAAATCATTTTAGTACATAAGGTTACCTTAAATTTAATAGAATACTGAAAAATTTTATTTGGCATTTTATTAAGTTGTAATAATTATTTTTGGCATGGCCTTGAAAATGGCAATGTGTAATATTCTGTAACATACTTAATCCACAGTCTTGAAAAGCTAATGAAAAATTATTGTATTGATTGATATACGTTAATATACCCCCTTTTTTTAAAGGCTTTATATATATATATATATAAAGGCTTTTGACACTACACAGGCCGAAAGTGGTGGTCATTATATTACGGAAGCCACCATTACCTCCTATGAAGGGACAGACAATTTACATTCATGCCTTTTCTAGGATTCAAACCTGGGCCCTTTGGTAAAGCAGTATAGTTCTAAAAAAAAATAGAGAAATATCTAATATGATCTCCCTGTATCTAGCTATACTTTTTATACATTTAATGAGCTAATCTCTGCTCCTGTAAATGTAATCCCCCTGTATCTAAATATACTTTTCATACGATTAATGAGCTACTCTATGCTCCTGTAAAAAGTAATTTAAAGGTTTCTCTTTAAAATGTTCCATAAATGATATTTTTCCATCATAATCATCGTTAAATCTCTTTTCACAAAGATCAAATTTCAGTTTGGAGAACAGATATATAATCACTTTAAGTTAAGGCTGTAAGGGAGTTTAAAGCTCCTTAATCCTGTACTGCATTTCTGCTCTATTAGTAGCAACAGCTCCAGTGCAGAAGAACATTATCAAGGAGAAGACAAACTCTGTGGCTCAGTATTCCTTGCCTTTTCTTTGTAATTTCATTCTGGCAGTTTATATAAAAGGCTTAACTTAATATTCCCCCTTAAAGGTTATTTAAAGTCTCTCAGAAGAATCTCTTGGTTGTCCTAAAAATGGCATTCATTATCTTTTTCACTGATTGCTGCACCTTTTCTTATGGTGTTTTACCTGGTTTTTATCACTGCAATGATTCTTCTGTAATAGAAGATTGTAGTATAGAACCATTGTTTTATCATCAGTTAAGATTGATTGTAAAACATTTATACTCTAAAGCTGCAAAAAACTGTGTATAACATACAACACATTGCTATTTTTGAATGGTTGGAAGGACTCTAAATATAAATCTTGCAGAAACTTTGTTCATGTGAAGATGTTCACATAAAATACATGATATATTTGTTTGAGATAGATCCAATCTTGCTACTCTCTTTTAAACTTTTTTTTTCCTTCCATGTCACTCAAAATTTTCAATTCCCCCAATGATAAACATTCATGAGAATCTGTTTTCTATGGATTCTCAAATTATGGAGAAAAATTATTTTGCACTTCAATTTTGATGACTGTGGTTTATGATAAGGCACATTTATTATAAATAGTCTGTAAATGTAAAAATATTATACAGTCAAAAGTCGTTAATCCGGACTCATTGGGACTTCGGCGATTCCGGATTATCGATTTTTCCGGATTATAGATCATCAGTTTAAATCTCGTAAGATGGGATGCAGAAATTCTAAAATTAAAAATATGAAACCGTAATTTATGAAATAAAGAACAATTATGATCTAAAGGGTTTCAAAATTTACAAAAAAAAAAGCTTAATATTTATTTGTTTACTTTAATAAAAATTTCTTTCAATGTAAGTTGCTTCATTTTATGTGATAATACTTTCTCTTTAATTCTATAAACAGACATAATTTCTTGTTCAGTTACAAAGTTCCGCTGTTCAAGTCCCGTTAATTGCTGTGCCGAGAATACCGACTAACTTGTCAATCGAAATTTTTTTGTTTTTACTAACCTCTCTGTCACATTCTTCATGTCTTTATCCATTTTTTGCAGCAATTCCAATTTCTGTTTGATGAACATCGAAACATACTTTCGTTTTGTACATCCTTTGGGAGCTCCAGAATCGGAAATTCTATTTGACATAATCGAAAGTTCAAGTTTACTTTTATAGTATTGTTCTTACACTCTGCAAAAAATAATGAGCCGGATCCAATTCGAAAATTAAGGAACAACGCAATGATCAACATTAACTGAAATCGATAATTAGATAATTTTAGCTTATACCGTCCGTTATACATAAAACGCGCACGCGAAAATGTATTCTGCGCTTGCGCACACTCATATGTGCAGTTGTAAAAGGCCTTACGCGCACCCGTAAACGCCTATGCGCATGTGTCAACGCGGCGCATGCGCAGAAAGTTTTTAGCTTTGAGGTCCGGATTATAGATCATTCCGAATTAACGACTTTTGACTGTATTTGAAATAAATATAGTTATATTATGTTGAATGCAATAGAGCAGCGGTTCTCAGCCTTTTGATTAATGTGCACCATCTAAACAAAAACTGAAAACATTTAGTACCACCACCTCTCTGGAATAAAGTCATATCACATAAATTTACGAGTGTTAGAGAGAAACTCAATCAGGAAGTTGGGGTTTAAATTTTTGAATTTAATAGTTAAAAATACTTTGCTTCTTTGCATATCACCAATTGAGAACCCCTGCAATGGAGAGAATCTATAGCCTGTCATAGTGATTGTGGTACAAGCCTTTAAGTATGGTATGAGAAAATTAATTTGATGAGTAATTATTTTATTAGAAAGTAATGCCTATTTGTTTAAAATTTAAAATGACCTCTTGTAAAGAGTAATGGAGTAATAAGTCCCTACTTGAAATCTTGACTTAAAATTATAGAACAGATAACAGTCTATTTGATTATGCATTAATTTCATGATAAAATTTAAATCTCAGAGATAAAATTCCCAATGCAAATTACTCTGTAGCCAATCAGCAAGAGGCGCAACAACATCTGTCCTGTTACGTCACAACTTCTATCTCGCCTCACAGCCTCTTTTTGGCCGGTGCCGTTGGAGTGAAAAGCTCGCTACACAATGCTCCCAGTACGAGTCTCATTCCTGTGTGTATAATAAAATATATTTTTATGTCAATGCTGTTTCATTCAGTTATCGAATCAGATCAACTAATATATCACCTTCAATAGCAACCAGCCTTCAACTCTAAGAGGACCATAATTCTGTATTGAATGAGTTAAACTTTCAGCTGCAGCTTACTGCTTTGGGCAGATATTTTTATATGATTTTCTGTATCAACCAGGATTAATAGCAATATAACCAACAACTAATTCTCCATGGCTCCATCCTTTCATTAAGGCACAGCTAAAGATAGACTCTGACTTATGCTCTTCAGTCAACAGACAGTTTCTACAATTTACAGTTAAAACCTATTTATACTCTTGCTCTTGTCTCATAAAAATCTACATAACTTCCTGGAAGGAATGAGCTGCATGACTTAAGTAAGAAGTGATAATAACAAAAATTCAAATTAAGAACCAACTTGTTAATTAAATTGTCACAAATTAATTTCAAAAAGCCTCTATTTGTAAAGGTTGTATTTTATTACAAAAGAAAATTTTAAAACCTTTTGCGCTTAAATAGCAAACAATAAAATGTTTTTGGAGAGATTTATATAATGAAATATACTCAGTAACGGGTCCTTGCTGTTAAATTCTCTTCTGTAAACAAATATAAATAATCATGTAATAAACTATATTACATGTTTAACATACACTCAAACAAGAGCAAAATAAGCTTTTTAATTATCAGTCATTTTTTAGCTTTACCGTCAGAAAATAAATTTATTATTTCAGAAAAATGCAGTCTGGTAATGCTAAGTCTGTCAAATATTCTTCAGTAATAAACATTATTAATACTTGATGTACTACTAAATAATCTTTTAGGTTGAGCCAGTGCAACAAGGTACAAAATATATCCAAGTACAGATAGAAGTGGGCAAGACACCGGAAGTTCACCAGTGATTGTAACAGGTATAGTCCCGCCACACTGACTGTACAGTTTCTCGCCAATTTGCAGGGAGAATGTCCAAGGGTCTCCCATCCTTTTCTTTAACACTTATGCATTATCTTTAATGTTATGCTTATTGTTATCTTAGCATTAATGCTATGAATAAAGGAATTGGATTACTTAATCTGGATCTTGAATGAAGAGTGGTAAAAGATTTATTCACTGTTAGCAAGATTTGTTGATTCAAATGCATCAAGTGTTTGAAATGAGGGCATACATCTATGAGGAATGAAGTATCTTTTTCAGACATTAAAATTTCATCTAACAGCTGAAAAATCATATGTGAATAAGCTTCACATATGCAGTAACACTGTAAATATGTGAACTAATAAGGACTACAACCCACCCAGATATTTAGAGAAAAGAAAAAAATTAGAAGAAAGTTTTGATACATTAAAATGTATGTACTGTTTAATATTTTATGTGAGCAAAAATTATTCAGTTAAAAGGAAAAATATTTTTAGCTTTACAAAATAATTTTATCATTAATAATAATCCTAAACAAATGCATAAAATGTCCACTACACACTGAAAATCTAATAGAAAGGTGAAGCTGCTGAAGGGTGTCTCTTTTTTAATTCCCTGGCTAGTGTCAATTCTAGTGCCAGATCTCAAAATAGCATATACAGGGTGTTTATAAAGTCCCGGACCCATTTTGATGTTTAATAACTCATAAAATAATAAAGATAGATTAAAATTAATAACGTAAATGGTTAGGTAGACTCAAAAAGTTTCATGACACTTGTCAATGAACTTCCACGTGTGCTCCCTTCGTCGCACGGAGAATATCAAGTCGATATTCAATTTCACGCCAGGCACCGGCAAGCATGTCGGCATCCACAGAGGCTATTCCAATTGCAATTGCTTTCGCTCGCACTTGGTTTCAACTACACAGAGTTATTACCAAAGAGTTATTACACAGAGTTATTACACATGAGTTGCCAAAGACCAATCGCGGTAGTAAAATAAAAGAGATGTACTTTAGGTACATTTGTTACCCGGAGGCGTAAAAAACTTTCAGAGCTTGGGACTGGCATTCCTGGTCGTGGTGGCAAATGTTGCATTCAGAAATAACAAAAGTCGTAACTATAAAACAGAAG